AGTATAAAGGGCAAGGAGAAAGATGTAGATGACTTTTTTCTTTTGAAATTATTAATTTCATGTGTGATATCAGATAATGACACTTGAAGATAATAATGAATTTCTAGAACCATATCTTAAAAATCAAGATTGTTTCTCATAGATAAAACTTTAAAGTGTCCACACACAACCTCTCCAAGGGCAGTTACTTTATCAGCTCCTTTGGCATAATGCTTGACTTAATTTTTAAGACTAAATATACTATCCCCAAATTCAGTCCATTCATCTTATCACATTATTTTTGTCACCAAGGTGTGTGTGTGTGTGTGTGTGTGTGTGTGTGTGTGTGTGTGTGTGTAGAGATGACAACAACTCTGAGGTGTTGATTCTCTCCTTCTCTTATGCGGGTCCCAGGTATGAAATTCGGGTCATCAAGTTCTCACTATAAGTTCTCTGTACCTGCTGAGCCACCTCATTGCCCACCCCTGCTTTATTAATTCCCACATTCTGAATCCTTTAAATTATTGTCAAAACAATCACACAAACCTACTATATTTTATTTGGAAGATAAATAATCGAAGTCTGAGACGCAAATTTTCTCTTTGTTGTTAGGAAATGAGTAGCAGTTTGAATTAAATGAGAAAGGTACCTAAGAACAAACTGTAAGAAATATACCACCATTCACTTCATGATCCCCACACTTTTGATGCATACAATCTGTAGAGTGCACAGGGAATTCTTTACTGATCACATGAACTCCTTGGCTTCAAAAAAGCAGTTCCCGAAGTTTAATAGCTCATGCCAAGTCAAACTCTTTGCTTACAGCCTGGGACATAGAGAGCTTGAATAATGAATGAGTCAGGGACAGAGGAGGGTACAGAATGTGAACGTGCAGCAAAAGCTCGGGGTCCAAGATCAGCTGTTATCTTCAAATCACCTCTTAGCTACACCACTATTTTCTCAGGATTTCGAGTATATCATTTCCTCTATAACTTCCATTTATACCATATAAACAATGAACGTGTTAGATGAATGACAGCTAAACACCTTTCTAGCCCAACGATTTTATATTTCCAGGAATTCCTTTAATTCTAACAGTGATGTTTTATCCCTTCCTTCAGGAGAATAAGGCTTCATAACTAACCTCTTTTAGCTACTGGGTTTAGTTCCCACTTGACAGTATATTCTTGAATTTTATATTATTAGATTCTAGAAAAAATTATTCTTAGATAGAAGAGTGAGTATCTTTGTTCTGAGTTGACAGGTGAAAAAGATGAGGCTCAGAGTCTGACAATACTCAATCAGTACTTTGACATCACAATGCTCAATGAAAACATGACCTCAAAGTGTTCCTTTAAGAACTTTTTTTTAAATTTTATTTTCCAGTTTAAATTTAGATAAGAATCAAGGTTGCTTCACAAGTCAGTTCCAGGTCCCTCTCCCATTCCCTCCCTTCCTCCCGTGCCCTCCCCTCCCCCCCTCCGTTATCCTCTCATTTCTCCAGGGAGGGTGAGGCCCTCCATGGGGGTGTCCATAGTGTGTCATTTCATATAGGGCAGGGCCTAGACCCTTTCCCAAGAGTTCTGGGTGTTGGGTAATATAGTAATTTTTATTTTACAAATGAAGATGCCAAAGCACAAAGAAGTTCACTTACTTGTCTGCTGTCTTTGGGTTTCTATTGCTGTTCAGAAATACCATGACCAAAAGTCAAGTTATGGAGGGAACAATTTATTTGGCTACACTTCCACATCATTATTTGTCAGCAAAGGAAGTCAGGACAGAAAGTCAATCAGGGCAGGAACCTGAAGGCAGGAGCTGATGCAGAGGCCAGGAAGGGCTGCTGCTTACTGGCTTGTTCCTCATGGCTTGTTCAGCCTGGTTTCTTATAGAACCCAGGGCCACCAGCCCCTGGATGGCACCAACCGCAATGGGTTGGACCCTCCTCCATCAAGCACTAATTAAGAAAAAACTTTACACAGAAATTGTGGAAGTAGCCAATCAATGACTAGTTCAGCTTGAGACCAATACCATGAGAGTGAGCAGACAGCTGAGAGCCAGGACCTAGTAGAGGGATAGCCCAGAGACCTAGGATAGAACCAAACATGACTGGCAAAAAGTCAATGAAATTATTACAAATTATACAAATTATATCATGCTATATATAGATTGGTGCCTATCCCAACTATCATCAGAAAGGCTTCATCCAGTAACTGATGGAAGCAGATGCAGAAATGCACAGTCAAACATTAGTTGGAGGAAATATTGTAGGAGCCAGAAGGGTCAAAGACCACAAGGAAACCCGCAGAATCAAGCACCCTGGGCTCATATGTGCTCTCAGAGTCTGAACTGACAACCAGGGAGCTTGTATGGGTCCAATCCAGGGCCAAACATTAGGTGGAGTTGTTCGGGGAACCCAGTCCAAGAAGGATTGTAGGAGCCATTGTGACAGAGTTCCAGTGGAGGTATATATATATATATATATTAAAATTTAAATTAGAAACAAGGTTGCTTCACATGTCAATTCCAGGTCCCTCTCTGTTTCCCTCCCCTCCTCCCGTGCCCTCCCTCCAACCCCCCCCAATATCCCCTTATTTCCCCAGGGAGGGTGAGGCCCTCCATGGGGGTGTCCATAGTCTGTTATTCATCCAGGGCAGGGCCTAGACCCTCCCCCAAGAGTTCAGGGTGAGAGTGCATCTCTAGTTGTTGGATGAGGTATTTTTTTATTAGCAGAAAGGGAGCGGGAAGACCAGCCTCTGGGGACAGGAGCATTGGGAGAGAGGAGAGGCAGAGAGAGAGAGGGCTCCAGAGCGGAACAGACAGACAGAATGAGGGAGAGAAAGGAAGGAATGGAGGGAAGGAGGGAAGGAGGGAAGAAAGGAGGAAGGAAGGAAGGAGGGAGGGAGGGAGGGATGGAAGGAAGGAAGGAGGGAGAGAGGGAGGAAGGGAGGGAGGGAAGGAACGAAGGAACGAAGGAAGGAAGGAAGGAAGGAAGGAAGGAAGGAAAGAAGATGGGAGGTGAGCAGGCACCTTTTAAAAGGAATATGTACAGGTGGTGCTCTTAGTGACTGCAGCTGAGGGCATATCCTGTCAGAACTCCCAGGGTAGGCCAGTTAAAAACCCCTGATTACTAACAGTAGCCAGAGGGGTCAAGGACATCAGGGGAACACAGCCCACAAAATCAACTAAGCAGGGCTCACAGGGCCTCACAGACACAGAAGCAGCAACCACAGAGCCTGGATGCGTATGCAACCCTCTGTGGTTGTTTAGCTTGGGTTTTTTGTTGGACTTCTAAAAGTGAGAGTGGAGGTGTCTCTGATTCTTTAGTCTTGGTCTTGTTTGGCCCTAGTCCTCTGAGCCATCCACCTTCAGGTTCCTGGCCATCCAAGCATGGGCTCCGTCTGGTGGCTTGGGCCTCAAGGTAGACCAGTCATCGGTTGGCTATTCCCACACTGCCACAAGCTCTGAATCACTATTGTCCCAGCGCATCTTGTTTAAAGAAAACTTAAATACACTCCAGCAGGAACATTCTTGGCAATATTGTGAACATATGTTACAAACTTCCTTGTCTTCTGGCTTCTCCATCTACTAGGTCACAAAAACCAATGAAGTTGGACTTAGTGCCATAGGTTTTACTCCATGAAATACAAGGAGGCAGAAAAATAGTTCCTGAAATAGAGGTTTATCATTCCTACAGGTCGGGGGTGAACAATTAAAAGGTGTCATCATGAGAATTATATTTAATTGGTATAATATTTATTGAGGATTTTGTTTTTTGTTTTTTTGGTTTTTTTTTAACGAGACTGGGTTTCTCTATATTGTTTTGGAGGCCGTCGGTCCAGCCTGGCCTCGAACTCACAGAGATCTGCCTGCCTCTGCCTGCCGAGTGCTGGGATTAAAGGTGTGCGCCACCACCACCTGGCAGGAGGATTTTGTTTTAAATTATTGTATAGATTATAATCTCATCATTTCTCTTTCCTCCCTCCAACACCCCCCATGCCTCTCCTTACTCTCTTTCAAATTCATGGCCTCTATTTTAAATTAATTGTTGTTAACCTACAGAAAAATCTATAGGCAACAAGGAATGCTGAGAACAGAATAGTCTTCTTCAGGGAAGAGCACACCAACTGGTTATCCCATACCTATGGTCAGTCCTGAAAATATATATACTCAGCATGCTGTACTTACATATTTAGAATATATATATACACACATATTGTACTTACAATTTTAGGAATATACAGACACACATATATTGTATTTGTGCTTTTGTGAATACACACACACACACTTACATACTTCTAGTTTTAGGAATATGCCCTCCCACAAAGTTTTTAAGTTCTCAACTGTAATGTGTAGCTTCAGAACAAATGTTCTCAGTCCAGACTGACCCTGAAATCACTGGAGCACTTTTAAAAGTTAGCAAAGTGTCCAAGTTCCAGAAATTTCAGTAGCAATTGGTGTGGTGTATAATCTTGACTTTTGTAATTTTGATTATTTACTTATTTATTTTTGAGACAGTCTTGCTGTGTAGCTGTGAATGGCCTGGAACTCACTATGTACATTAGGCCAGCCTCTAACTCAGATATGCACCTGCTTTTGCCTCTGAAGTGCTTTGATTAATGGCCTCAAGTAATGTTACTGTTCATTTGTGATGGAAAATCATGAATCTAGTCACAACACCTAAGATGTACTATATAATTAACCACATATTCTAAGTAACATTGGGAAGTTACAACATCTTAAATATTTTCTTTTTATTGAAAATGAGAAAAAAAAGAGCTGGGGATTTACCTCCGTATTAGAGAACTTATCTAGCATATGTAAAACTTTGACTTCAAGTCCCATCATTAGAAAGGCATTTGGTAAATTCTTATTAAGGCTTTAATTATCAAACTTTTGAATGTACCAGGATATTCTTTAGGATTGTTAAAATGTCTCTCTCCAACCATACATTAGATCTTTAATGGGACTGATGTTTTCTTTTTCTCTTTCCTTTATATGTCCTTTTTCTTTCTTTTTAGACAGGTCTTCTGATGTAGAACAAGCCAGCCTGGAATTCACCATGAAGCCCTGGCTGGTGTTAAACTCTGACGTATCCTGTTTCAGCTTCTTGAGTAATGAGATTACTCAAGAACGTACTTACAGGTAAATATACCTAGCTTAATAATAATTATAATGCACTTTCACAGCAAGATGCTTGGATAATGCTGAGACTGCCATTTTTAGCGGTACACTTGGAGAGACACTGCAATACATTGGCTTTAATTTTAGATGGGCCACTGAAAGATTACTGATACTTTTAACTGCCTTCACCCAAAGGCGTTTTTTTTTTTTTTTTTGGTTTTTACGAGACAGGGTTTCTCTGTATTGTTTTGGAGGCTGTCATTCCAGCCTGGCCTCAAACTCACAGAGATCTGCCTGCCTCTGCCTCCCGAGTGCTGGGATTAAAGGCATGCGCCACCACTGCCCAGCCAAAGGTGTTTTTAATAGTAAGAATTACGATACTTCTGTTGACAAATGATAAGAATTATTTTGGGTAGGAGACATCATGTGGAAAGCAGAAAAGTTTTATAGTGAGTTCTTGTTAGTTTGTCTAGGATTCGTTCCCATGCAGGAAATCTATCAAATGCTGATATAAATAGTACTTAGTTACAGAGCACAGCCAATTTCACATAATCTTTCTAGCACTGTTTGATGAGCACTGACTTATCCATTCTTCACATTACCCCAATTTTGGACATCATTGACATGGAACATCTTTATAGAAGGGTCAAAATTAGGTTAATGTAGGCTAAAGCTTGCCCAACATACTTAGGTAGCTGGGAAATGATTCTCTCTCAATAAAAAGAGAGAAGTCAAGATGTTCTCTAGTGTAAGTAATGAAGATCTAACAAATGGACTACAGTAGGTAGCTTTGTCCAAGATCTGATAGTTGTTGAAGTAGTTACATCTATGAGGGCTAAGACAGACTGTGTGTGCAATAGAGACTAACAAAACTGCAGCAGATTCTTCCCATGTCTTTCCAAAGTCCATGCTATGTACTCCATTCATAGTACCCACCCTTAGACTCCCAAATCCACCCAACATTATTTGTGGGAGTTTGGATTTATCTGTTAATCTCCAGTCCAGTTGAAATTGACTTGGGCTTGTTATACTTACTAGAACCAGGAATTTGAGTTGCTGAATTTAGGTAAAGTCATACTGAAGGAGTGAGTTGATGATACTATTAATAGTGTATGTATCTCAGGGAATTTTCATGAAAAGTACTTCTAAGGATCTTTCTAGGAAGGTAGACAAGAGCATGGGAGGGAGAGGGAGGGCAGAAGGGGAAAGAGGAGCAGAAAAAGGGAGTGGGGAGAACATGAGGGAAAGGAACAGCATGGTCAAGTTGGAGGAAGGAAAGAGAGGGAGAGCAAGGAAAGAATTATCTTGACAGAGGGAGCCATTATGGGTTTAGTGAGAAACCTGGCACCAGGGAAATTCCCAGGAATACATAAGGATAAACCCAGATAAAACTAAGCAATAGTGGAGAAGGTGCCTGAACTGACCTTCCCTTGGGATCAGATGGATGAATACATTAGTTGTCAGCACAGAACCTTCATCCAGCAACTGATGGAAGCAGATGCAGAGATTCATAACTACCCACTGAACCAAGCTCCTGGAGTCCAGATGCAGAGGAGCAATAGTATGAGCAAATAATTCATGTGCTCCTTCCTGAGAATTACCTAAACAGCACAGCAAACTCACTTCTCATAGTTACCTTTTCCATCTTCCATTCCTTCTCCACGTGGCTCTCCTGAGAAACCAGTTAACCAGGTAAAATAACCTAGTCCCTAGTGCTATCTAAAATGGTTCACAGGCAAGCAGATGGATTTCAAGCATTAAGACCCATGAACAAATGATGATAATGGAGAATTATCATCAGCTTCTTTATCCAATGGGTCAAAGTGCAACAGGACGTTTTCTACATTTGAGTATATATGTTCAACCAAATGCTACCCTCAAGTGCTTAGAAAACATATCAGAGGAACACGAGATCTATAGAGGACTAAATTGAAGCAAATGCAAAAAACATACTATTTTACTTTGCATGATAATAGAGTCTGATACGTTACTTATAAATGTTTGAAGTCATTATCAAATTAGAAGTAAAATTATACTGAAGTCTCCGAGGTTATTGGCTTAGGAATAAAGTCTAAGAGGTACATTTTTATTACACTAATAAAAGAATGAGTAAAAATAAAATTTAGTATCCATCAATATATTTTTAATTTAAAAATTGCATTTGTGTGTACATAAGTAGATGTGTGCATGCAATGGAATGTGTGTGGAGGTCGGAGGACAGTTTGCAGTAGCTGGACCTCTATGTCCACCACTTGGGTCACAGGGACTGAACTCAGGTCCTCAGGCTTGGTGGCAAGTGCCTATACCTGCGAAATTACCTTACCTTCCTTATCAATGTTTTCCAAATAACTGCTTGAGACAAGTCCTCCTTGTGTATCTCTGCCTGAACTGGAACTCATGCAAACCAGGGTGGCCAGGAACTCACAGCCTGTCTTCTGAGTGCTGGCATTAAAGGTATGTGCCACCATACCTGGTATGTCTTTATTTTTAAAGTATGTGTATGTGTGTCTGTGGACATCTGTATATAAGAGTGCAGGGGACCAGGAAAGGTCACCAGATCCCCTGGAGCTAGTAACAGGTGGTTTTGAACTGACTAATGTGGATGCTGGCACACAAACTCAGGTCCTCTTATAACAGTAGTATGAGCTTTTAACTCTCCACCCCCAACATTAATACTTTTAAAATGCAAATCTGACATGGCTGCAACCTAAAAGGATGAACAGTAATCTGTGGAGCTATGTGGTAGTAAGAAATCGAACAATTTTTATCCACATTAAAAGAACAGAAGCTACTTAATTCACACCAAAGGAAAACAAGTTCTTTATGTCATAAATATTTTAGTCCATCAAAATCTCTTCTATGGTTATCTAGTGTGCTCCAATACAAACTTTAAGGACAAAGCAATTACAAATAAAAATATATATTATGATTACAATCATATAATCAAACACTATGGAAGTTAAAAAGCTTAATAAAACTTATCAAGAGAAGTTCTTCAGCTAGTAACCAGTAAGTACAATTTTCACTTACATATACTCTTGTGCATAAGATATAGAATATGTGAATAGTTGAGTATATAGTGAAAAAGTATCTCTGTTATCATTTTGAATACTCTTATGATTTTTATAAGGGAAACATTTTATGGTGTTGGGAATGAAACACAGGGTCTTATTCTTTCACTGGATTTCAAAACGTATTACAATTTTTTTCATGGACTGGTCTTTCAGTGAATAAAGGAAAACATATGCTTTGCCGAGATTAGTACTACACTTGCTAAAATATAGTTTTGTTACTTTCCCACAATTGATACTGCAATGTCAAAAATGCAGGCAAGTGCTAAAGTATTTATTTTAGCTTGGAAAAATATAAGTATTCCCGAGGATATTACAAGTAGTACAGCATGTGTTCCAAGGTGTTCTCTTTGTACTATGTACAAAGCTGCCTTTGGTGGCCCTTAACTCCCATCTTATTCTTCCAACTTCCACTAGGATGGAAGATGTTTGTGTCACTGACCGGACAAATCATTTTACCAGATCTACTTCTACTCATTTTGTTGTTCTTAAAGGTTATCATCTTAAAAGAATGGCTCTGGGAAATGAATCAATAATCACATGGAAAACTGTGACCTTAATATCATGGAAACTAACCTCCTTTAAAATACAGTTGGGTATAAATAAATGAGCCACTGAGTATGTTAAAGAATTTCATTTGAATGGGTGCCAGATGAAGCATTTATCTAAGTTATTCTTTTACCAATTAAAACTTAGGAGTCATATATTGGAGTAAAAACATGATTGATCAAAGAAACAATAGAGAAGTGACTAGTGACCTCCTCTTTCTTTCCTCGATCCAAAAGGACCCACAAATCTTTCTAAGCCCCTCTCTCCTACTTCCTGTGTCTCTCTATATGTCCCAAGTCCTTGGAAACCTCCATGGCTAATCCTGGTCAGGTAACAGTTAGCTCCACCCTTTGATTTAAGGTAAGTTTTATTTTCAGTCTTGGAAGTGTCAGAATGTGATCAAAGTATCGTACAGCAACCTACAATGTATCCATGAATAGATTCGTGCTTTCTTTCTCTAGTTCTCCCTGGCCTACAACAAGAATGACCTTTACTCAAGAGCAGGAGCACTGTGGCACGGGTCAAGATGTCTTGCTTTCTAGGAAAACGTTGTTTGCCATTCTCATCACAGCTTCAGGACACATAACCTGTCCACTCTTCAGCCAGAGCATCAGCAGCTACATCTTTGAACATGCATTTCTCATAGACAGTACAATGTTTGTGTTCACTGTCTACTTCCATGAATTTCTAACAGCTGGAGGCTAGGAAGGAGATATTCAGCTTCATTCACACATGGCCAAGGGCCTAGGAGGTGCCAGGAAAAAGCACTTTCTGGGAATCATAACTATAATATGTTGCAAACAGAAAATTTAAAAAGGAACAAGCCTTAATTTATTTTGATTAATTTTGCATAATTTTACTAGTTATGTAATATTGCCAACAAAAAGGTCTTAAAAGTTTAACCTATAGTCATCATTAAATTACTGAATAAAATTGAACTAATTTAAAATTAACAGCTGAAGAAAACAAAGTATTTACTGTGTTTCTCCTTACATAATGTGGTGGTTAGAATGAGAAAGGTCCCACACAAGGGCATTTGAGCCTGTGATCACAAGTTGGTTGTGCTGTTTGGGAAGGTTACGGTGCAGATTACTGTGCAACTTTGCAGGAAGCATTGGATCACGAGGGACAGGCACTGAGAGTGCACAGCCTTGCCCCACTCCCAGGCTGCTCCATCTGCTTCATGTTTGCCATGGAATGTGTGAGCTCTCAGCTTCATGCTCTTGCTTCCAAGCCTCCGCTGCCTTGATGGACTCTTCTTGTCCCTCTGGAACTGTAAGCCAAAATAAACTCTTTCATCTCTACGCTGCTTCCTGCCATGGTGCTTAATCACAGCAACAGAAAAGTGACTAACATAGAAATTGGTACCAGAGGGTGGGCTGTTGCAGACAGCAAAGCTGGAAAGGTTAAGTCATTTAAGCCCTTTGAAGGGAAAGTCCCAGACATCAGACATGGAGCTGCAGGTTTCTCTTGTTCGTCCCAGGAGGTTTCAGTCTTGCTGCAGTCCGGTATTGCCTCACTATGCCCCCATTCCTCCCTTTAAAATGACAATGATTATTTTGCGCCATTGTGTGTTGGAAGTATGTTATTTGCTTTTAGGTTTTATAGGTGGCTACAGTTAAGAGATTGCCCCAAGTCTCAGAGATGTTGACTTTCTGAAGCAGTGTTCAGACTGAGGAAGACTATGGTCACCCTTAAAGTTGAACTGAGCACATTTTGCATTATGATATGGCCACAAGCCTAAGGGAGACAGGGAGAAGGGGGTGGTGGCATGAATGAGAAATGTTGTCCAGAAGCTCATGCATCTGAATCCTTGTTTCCCAGTTGATGGTGTTTGGGGAAGTTGGGGATGTGAAGGTTTGCTGAACAAGACTGCCGCTGGGGTAGGCTTTGAGAGCTTATAGCCTGTCCCGGTCCCAGTCTGTTCCCTCTGCTCTGTGTTTGCCACTGAAGATGTGACAGCTCAGCTTCTTGTTCTTGCTGCCATGCCTCTCCACCGTGATGAGCCTCAGGGAACCATGAGCCACAGGAACTCCTCCTTCCATAAGCCACTTTGGAGATGGTGTTTTATCACGGCAATAGAAAAATAAGTAGTGCACATAATGAAAAAGAACCCAAAAATCATAGAAAATGAGCTGGGTGTGGTGGCATGCACCAAGACACCGAGGCTGAAGGATCAGTGAGCTTGAGACTACTCTGGGCTACATATCCCTGTGCTGTCTCTAAAATAATAATAATAATCAACCTACAACAAAACTAAGCAAAATGGGCTGGGTATATGGCCTAAGAGATTAGAATTAGAGCACTGGCTGCTCTTCTAGAAGAGCTGGGTTCATATTCCAGCATCAACAGGTTGGCTCACAGCTGTTTGTAACTCCAGTTCCAAGGGATTCAATGTCCTCTTCTGGCCTCTGTGGACATCAGGCACACAAGTATTACACAGTTATACATGCAGGCAAAAGAACCATGCATAAAAAATAAAAATAATTTTTAAAGACCCCATTGGAAACAAAAGTCTATTTTGTGATATTTAAAATGCCATGGTTTGGGCTATATAAACATTAAACATGCTTTTCCTGCTTTTATTTTTACAAAAATCACATTTTATCACAGGCAATGACTAAATATTCTTTCAATTAAAAAAATTATAATAAAATTATAGTAATACTTTGGTGCTAGATGTTTGCTCTAATATTTGAGGAAGATGAATAATATACAGAAAACTAATGCTAGCTTTGTCAATGACATCTGTAAAAATATACCCCATACACCTTTGCACGTAATATTTAGAACTATAAAGTCTGCCAATGTAGAAATTCCCTGGAATTTCTTAATGCAATGTAAAATACACAAGGCAAAAGAAAACATTATATATAAATAATATTCAAACATTCCGGCATGTATGGTGCTTCTCTAGGTAGAGTGAAACTTTATATATGTAGATACAAAGGAGGTTTCAGACACATGTTGAGGAAACAGAAGCACCAATTGTTTAAGTTACACTTGATCACGAAGACGAGCAAGCCTCTGTGACAGTTCATCCTGGAGGAAGCCAAATTGACAAATAATCAAAGGCTGTAATAAATATAAACCACTAAAAATTTTAACCTCCTTACATTTTAAATACAATTTAAAATCCTGTTTGTAAAATTTATATAAATGTTAGGCATTTTCTTTTCTTAAATATCTCAAAAGAACTGAATAATAGCAGCTATGAAGGGTACCAAAACAATCTAAAAGACGGAAGTGTGCATGCACACTGAAAATGCCCAGGATTACATAGATAGTAGCTGTTCATGCTATGCTCATTTCAATAATGCGCCATAGTAGAAAAATACTCTATAAAAAGGTGAATGTATTTCCTTATATACAAATATATAGATTTCATATAAAAGACACATTTCTCAAATTATTAATTTAAGCATGAATCGAGAATATGAATCACAATAAAATCCATCACCTACCTGCTCTGTAGAAGCAACACTTGCACCAACAGACCCTGTCTGACCCTGTGGAAGCTCCATATTGAGATCAAGGCTAAAGATGAATTTAAAAATAATCAGAATAAATGAATATTAATATAGACATTTTATAATAATCAAATAGGTACTGCAAACTTGGGTTCTACATCCCTTTAAATAAAAATACAACCATGTTTACATGTGAATAGAAGTTGAATGTCTTCAAAATGATTTTCAATAAATGACTAATTATTTTGAAGGTTTTTTTTTAGTCCAAATAGTGATCCATACAGTGATCCGTGGTATAATATTGGAATAGCAAAGCTAAATAAAGAATGCAAAATGATCTACTCCACTACACAAAAGACCAAGAAATCATCATCTCTTGTACTCTATTTCTTGGGTATTATTTGTCTCCTACACTGTGAAAGCAAATAAATAGTTAAAAAATTCAAAATAGAAACTGTGGCCTGTTTCCGGGTAGCCTTCCTGTGCCTGGGGACTGCCACCGCTGTTCCCACCTCAGAGGGAGCCAATGCAACCCAGCATCCTAGTCCATTTCTATACCCACGGGACCAGGAAGAGGAGAGCTACCAGAGTATTGGACTTGCTTACACGCACCAGAAGGGAACCCTGGTCCTATACCCACCAGGAGAGGAAGAGTATCCTTCTGTACCCACTGTAAGACGGGATGGGAAAGAGACAACATAAAAACACACTCAGCAACAGAAAAACCAATATGACACCGTCAGAGTCTAGAGACTCTACACCAGCAAGACTCAAACACTCCAATGCAAATGAAGCAGAAGAGAATGACCTTAAAAACAACTTCGTGAAAATGATAGAGGCCATCAAAGAGGATATGAGAAAACCCCTTAAAGAGATAGAAGAAAAAACGAGCAAAAAATGCATGAATTGGATGAAAAAACAAAGCAAAACTTGTAAGAAACAATTCAAACAGTGCAAGGAAGGGTTGAAAGCTGAAATAGAGACAATAAAAAAACACAGTCTGAAGGAATGCTGGAAATAGAAAAGCTGGGCAAATGGTCAGCTAATATAGATGCAAACATAACCAACAGAATACAAGAGATGGAAGAGAAAATCTCAGGTGTTGAAGATACACTAGGAGAAATAGATTCATCGACCAAAGAAAATTTTAAGTCCAACAAATCCCTAACACAAAGTATCCAGGAAATATGGTACACCGTGAAAAGACCAAACCTAAGAATAATAGGTATAGAAGGTGAAGAAAACCACCTCAAAGGGACAGAAAATATATTTACCAAAATCATAGAAGAAAACTTTCCCAATCTAAAGAAACACATGCCAATGAAGGTACAAGAAGCTCACAGAACACCAAATAGAGTGGAACACAAAAAAAGTCCATTGCCATACAATAATCGAGACCCCAAACGTACAGAATAAAGAAAGAATATTAAGAGCAGCTAAGGAAAAAAGGTCAAGTAATATATAAAGGCAAACCTGTCAGAATTACACCTGAGTTCTCCATGGAAACTCTGAAAGTCAGAGGGTCCTGGATAGATATTCTACCAACACTAAGAGAAAACGGATGCCAGCCTAGACTACTACACCCAGCAAAGATATTTCAATCACTAGAGATGGAGAAAAAAGATATTTCATGACAAAATCAGATATAAATAATACGTATCCACTAACCCAGCCCTACAGAAAGTTTTGGAAGGAAAACTCCAACTCAAGGAAGTTAACTACAACCAGAAAAACATAGGCAATAGATAATCCCACTTTACCAACAGCCAAAAGAATAAAGGAGTGAAAATCCACACACAATTCCACCACGGACAATCATTCCAAAACAAACAAGAAAGAGCAATCAATAGTCACTAGTATCCCTCAATATTAATGGTCATAACTTGCCCATAAAAAGACACAGGCTAACAGAATGGATTCGAAGACAGAATACATCCTTCTGCATACAAGAAACACCTCAGCTTCAAAGACAGATGTTACCTCAGAGTTAAGGATTGGGAAAAGATTTTCCAATCAAATGGACTCAAGAAACAAGCGGGGGTAGAAATCTTATTATCTAACATATTAGAATTTAAACTAAAATAAATCAAAAGCGATAAAGGAGGTCATTTCCATACTCATCACATGAGAAATACATCAAGATGAAGTCTCAATTCTGAAAATCAATGCCCCCAATACAAAGGCATCCACGTTCGTAAAAGAAACATTACTAAAACTCAAATCACATATAAAACCCCACACACTTAATAGTGGGAGACTTTAACACCCTACTCTCACCACTAGACAGGACTACCAGACAGAAATTTAACAAAGAAACAAAGGAATTAATAGAAGCTATGAACCAATTGGGATTAACAGACATCTATAGAACATTCCATCCAAATATAAAAGAATATACCTTCTTCTCAGCACCACATGGAACCTTCTCAAAAGTTGATCACATACTTGGCAACATATCAAACCTCAACAGGTACAAAAAATTGGAATAATTTCATGTATCTTATCAGGCCATCATGCTTTCAAGTTAGAATTCAACAACAACACAAATTGCAGAAACCCTACATACTCATGGAAATTGAATAATGCGCAATTGTACTATTCCTTGGTCAAAGAAGAAATAAACAAAAGAAATTAAAGACTTCCTAGAATTCAATGACAATAAAGACACAACATACCCAAACGTATGGAACACTTTGAAAGCAGTGCTAAGAGGAAAGTTCATAGCACTAAGTCTTCACATGAAGAAACTGGAGAATAGTTACACGAGAGAATTAACAGCACAGCTGAAAGCTCTAGAACAAAAAGAAGCAAACTCTCCCAGGAGGAGTAGTCGCCAGGAAATACTAAAATTGAGGGCTGAAATCAATAAAGCAGAAACTAGGAAACAATACAAAGAATCAATGTAACCAAGAATTGGTCTTTTGAGAAAATCAACAAGATAGACAAACCTCTATTCAAATTTGCCAAATGGTATAGTATGAATATGCAAATTAACAAACCAGAAATGAAAAGGGCGACATCAAAAGTCTACCAACCAAAAAGAGCCCAGGGCCAGATGGCCTCAGTGCAAAATTCGACCAGAAATTCAAAGAACAGCAAATACCAACCCTCCTCAAAGTATTCCATGCAATAGAAGCAGAAGGGTCTTTGCCAAACTCTTTTTACGAGGCTTCAATAACCTTGATACCCAACCCACACAAAGACACAACTAAGAAAGAGAACTTCAGACCAATATCCTTCATGAACATTGATGCTAAAATACTGAATAAAATGCTGGCAAATCGGATCCAAGAACACATCAAATCAATCATTCACCACGATTAAGTAGGTTTCATCCTAGGAATGCAGGGATGTTTCAACATACGAAAATCCAACAATGTAATCCACCATATAAACAAGCTTAGAAACAAAATTCACATGATCATCTCACTAGATGCTGAAAATGCCTTTGACAAAATCCAATACCCCTTCATTATAAAGGTCTTGGAGAGATCAGGGATAACAGGAACATGCCTAAACATAATAAAAGCTATATACAGCAAATCAACAGCCAACATCAAACTAAATGGGCAGAAACTCAATGTGATTCCTCTAAAATTAGGAACAAGACAATGCTGCCCACTCTCTCCATACCTCTTCAATATTGTACTTTAAGTTCTAGCTAGAGCAAAAAGAAACAAAAGGATGTCAAGGGGATACAAATTGGAAAAGAAGAAGCCCAACTTTCACTATTTGCAGATGATATGATAGTTTATCGGGGAACTCCTTCAGCTGATAAAGACCTTCAACAAAGTGGCAGGATAAAAGATCAACTCAAGAAAATCAGTAGCCTTACTATATACCGACGATAAAAGGACTGAGAAAGAAATCAGAGAAACATCACCCTTCAAAATTGCCACAAACAACATAAAGTACCTTGGGGTAGTGCTAACCAAACAAGTGAAATACCTGTATCGCATGAACTTTGAGGCTTTTAAAGAAGACACCAGAAAATGGAAATATCTCCCATGCTCTAGGATAAGTAGGATCAATGTAGTAAAATTGGCAATCTTGTCATAAGCAATCTACAGATTCAATGCAATGCCCATGAAAATGCCAGCACAATTCTTCACAGACCTTGAAAGAACAATTTTCAACTTTATATGGAAAAACAAAAGACCCAGGATAGCCAAAACCACCCTGTTCAACAAAGCAATGTTCAGAGGTATCACCATCCCTGACTTCAAGCCCTATTATAGAGCTATAGTCTTGAAAACAGCTTGGTATTGGTACAAAAACAGACAGGTAGACCAATGGAATAAAATTGAACACCCCGATATTAACCCACACATGTAGTAGTACCTGATCTTTGACAAAGAAGCTAAAATTATACAATGGAAAAAAGAAAGCATCTTCAACAGATGGTGCTGGCATGTAGAAGACTGAAGATAGATACATGTCCATCGCCATGTACAAAACTGAAGTACAAATTGTTCAAAGACCTCAACATAAATCCAGCCACACTGAACCTCTTAGAAGAGAAAGTGGGAGGTGCTTTTGAATGAATTGGCACAGGAGATAGCTTCCTGAACCTAATATCAGTAGCACTGACACTGAGAATGACAATTAATAAGTGGGACCTCCTGTGGGTGTCAGTGAGGAGACCTCGGCAATCTATGGGGCCTTGGGTAGTAGATCAGTATTTATCCCTGACATACAAATGGACTTTAGGTGCCCATTCCACAATGAGGGATGCTCTCTCAGCCTGGATTCTTGGTGGTGGGTCTAGGCCCTGACATGAATGAGATCCCCCATGGAGGGTATCACCTTCCATGAGGAATGGAGTGAGGACTTGGTGGGGGTCTGGGGGGACTGCTGGGGAGCAGGGGAGGACAGGAGGGAGAAAGAGCCGGGATTGACATGTGAAGCAAGCTTGTTTCTAATTAAATAAAAAAAGAAAGAAAAAAAGAATATTAACTATTTATTGTGTCTCTATTCTGTTGTGACTACAAGCAAAACAGTAATTTTAAAAGTCAATATGGTATGTTGTTGGCAGATTTTTTGGAAAGGCAAACATACAATATACTAAAATTTTATGAGAAGAGTTAACTCAAAAAAAAACCAACTAGACACCTAAATATCCTTGATGGTGGACATTAATGTTTACATATCAGTGGCGCTACCTATTTCTCCTGCTGCAGTTACTGCGTTAACTAATTTCTCAATACTGGTCTCATTTCCCAGGAATGGGTAGCAATATCTGGAGACACGTCTAGCTGACACAACTGAGAGAAATGGTGCTACTGGCTTTAGGAGAGTGGAGGCCAGGATGCTGCAAACAGCCCACAATGCTTAAAACAGACCCTAATATTAATCACTCCAAAATGGCAACACTGTCACAGGGGAGAAACGGTGCTCTAGCTTTAAAGTCACCTACTGATCTTTATCTAATACTGACAGTAGGTAAGGGCGATAATATATGGTAATGCTCATTTATATAAAATCTCAATCACTATCCTTTCAAGTCGAAATCCTCTCATTTAGTATTAAGAAAGACAGAAACAAGTCCTTAATCTTTTATTCCTAAGATGGAGTCTTGTAACAATGACCTAGTTTGTTTTATGAAAAAAATACCCCCTTGTACTACCATCTGTGCTGGCCTGTGGACTTGTCACAGTACTACCAGAGCAAAATGGTACACAACCTAACACCCAAACCCTACTCCCAAACACTGCAAACCTTATTTAGCAATTATTACCATGGATGTAATTCATTAATGACATATTACTCTTCTAAAAAATTGATAAATGTCACCCACTGTTCATTCTAATCATAGATATACTTTAGACACTAATGTTTATCAACTGTATTTTCTTAGTATCTAAGTTTTCTCTTTCTTGAAGAAAAATATAAACAGAGTATGTAAACCTTATTTCACTTTATTAATCTAGGTTTGAAAGAAAAGTCTAAGATATTACCATGCCTCATTTTTAAACATCTTATTTTTTATTACTATGGTATTTATCTAAATGTTACTACAGAGAACATTGACAAAAAATGATGTCTATAACACAGATATCATGGTCAAGTTATTCCCGTAAACATGAAAGATTTGAAGTAAGTCATCCATATCAGACACCTGACACAGCAGTAGCTGTTTGTAAAAGGGTACTTACTGATTATTTAAAGAAAAACAAATGACCAGCTGCTAGGTTTATAATATTTTGTCCTTTGTACAATTTACACATATTGTTCAGTTTGTAGGGTTCACACCAGACTTGTGACTCAATGGCCTGATCACTGCCTTTTTCTCCAAATTTTTAGACAATTTCTATGCGTTGACATATGCTATGCATAGCGGACAGAAAGCAAATGTATGAACATCCTTTTACCCTTTGATAATCTCTACCTATTACGTAATAGCATATTCTGAATGGAACTAACTTCAGAGATTTTAAAGAATATGCTTTGTAGTTTGAAGAGTTATGTTTTTGTGAGAATGCCTAGAAAACAGTAAGCTCTTGAAATACTAACTCTATAAAAGGTCAAAAACAAAAGTTGAACTGTTTTATAGACAAATTTTTCAATCCATAGCAAATTTCTAGTAGTGCTTATGCTTCATGTTCAGGACTTCACATATGCTAGGTATAAAAATTCCAACCCCACCTTCACTCCGTATTTTAGAACCTCTAAATATCAAATCAAGATTACTCAAAAGCACTGGAATAGCAACACCTTACCCAGCTTCATCTGCCATTTCCTGAAGCAGCATATCCACTTGGTTCTGAAATAAAAAAAAAACCAAAATCTTAATTCTATAGTATTACCTTTTGGGGTAGGTTCTGGGTGTGGTTTGGGGTGGGAAAATGATCTACATCTTTTAAAATGGGGGCTACAGAGAGATAGCCAGCAGTTCAGTTCCTAGTAACCAGGTCCAGAGGCTCACACTGCCTTTACTTCTAAAACCTGGGGTATAATGCCTCTGTCCTCCACAGGCACATGTATTCACTAGCATGGAGCTGCCTCCCACACAAAATTAAAGGTGTAATAATAAATCTTTTGGGGGAAAAAACATACAAACCAAAAAAAAAAAACAAAACAAAAAAAACAAAACCAAACTCCTTGTCCTGCAAATCTTTTAAAACAAATCTTTAAAAGTATTTTTCATGCCACAAGAGGGCGATGCACCATTTCAGAGAGCCACTTTCTGAATGTTAAGCCTTAAAGCCTAACACTGAAGTTGTCTGAACAACAGTGGCAGTCAGATTCACATACAATTCACATCTCTGAGTAATCTGACATGCTAAGGTAGTGGCGTAAGTTAGAAATGCCGTAATAATCCATTTTCGTTATGTGCAAGAGTTAAATTTAGCTGAGATGTATTATTCTGCAAATTAACACAAATATAAAATGACTTTTTAGAATGGATTATCAGTAGACAAAATATACCTAAAGTATGTACCTATAGTGCAGAACCCTATGAGGCTTCAATTCAATTACAGACTTAACCAACTGCAGAACAAAAACATTCTGAGAAGAAATTGTTCCTGCAACTTAAAGACTTCACCTTGGTATCATTTCTACAACTCAGAGAGCTACTTATATAGCACTTACATTGTGCTAGACATTACATGTAATTAAGAGGCAATTTAAATATGTGAGAGATATATGTTATATATAGACAACAGAAAAATAAACAGGGACATTGAGTATCCTTGGGCTATGGTGTCTACTAGAGATTGTGGAATTAATCTCATACAGATTTCTGGTTATTTTGTTGTTGATGCTGTTTTCCTGAGACAGGGATTCGCTATGCAATTTAGGGTGGTCCAAGTCCTAGGTTTACAGATGCACGCCATCATACCCAGTCCTATAGTGAAACAGTTACTGTGGTAGGAGAGTTCAAGAAATAGTCTGTTTAATCAAAAACCTCTTCTCATTTTCACACAGTTCTTAAAAATAATTTGAGCATGCAAGAAGAAATTGTAAAATGTGGTCACAGTTCTACCAGTAACAATTGCATGGTTTAAAGCAAAAGACAAACCTTCCTGTTGGAACCTTCCTTTCTCTTGTTCTTTTAACTGCTTCAGAAATGTTTGCAAATGTAGAAAAGGTTCACAAGATAATAAAACACACAAACAAGCTTGTCTTTTCTTAACTCCATATCTAAAGTAGCACTGAGTCCTGCAAATTATATATTGTATTGCATTATTCTACAGCTTACCACCTTCCTTAATCATCTAAGATTTAATTTTATTGTTGTCTAGAGATCTAGTCAATTCAGTATAATCATTTGCTGGACACTTGCAATATCTAAATATACTAAATTTAGCATATATACTCAATTTCTGGGCATTTTTTATTAATTTCTGTCACAGACAATGGTTAAGCATCCATGTGCACACACACGCAAGTGTGTGTGTGTGTGTGTGTGTGTGTGTGTGTACATGTTTGTTCACACACCAAGAACTTCTGGGTGCATAAACTTGGAGACAGAATTCCTGGGTTATAGGATATGTATGTTTTCATTTACCCAGCCAATGAAGGGAGCAGCCAGAAGCACTTTGGCCTGAGTACTGCCATTTGACTTTAGACTCCATTTACCTGCAGGGTGAAAAAAGGTTCAGGGTTCTCAAGCCCTATGGGAGCTGAGAACTTTCCAATGACGGATCATCCTCTTCTCTAAACCATGAAAAGAGTCGTTATGCATCTTTAGTTCTTTAAAAACATTATGGCTGTTCCTAACCACAGAAGGAACAAATGAATCTGATTGGTTGGATTGGAAAGCTTGAGCTGTATGTCAGCTGACAATGGTGGAACAGTCAAGGAAGCCCCTACTTTCTAAATCTGGATTGGTGGAAATTATAACTGTAACTTGACAACTGATCAGTGACCCGCTTATGTGGTGATATATGAAAGTCTTTGGAACCCAAAAGTGTTGTCTCTCTCCATCCTCATGTCACATAACTGGCTAGGTGTAACACTATGTCTAATAATATTACAGGTCAACATCTGCTCATATTATTGTTCATGCTATCGAGCTGTTGATGAGATAAAGATTAGTTCTAGGAGAGTGTAGGAAGGAAATAAAGAAGGAAAGGCATTTTTGTGTTGCCTGTGTAGAGGTGTATATATGCATTGTGACGACACATGTAGGGGAGACACGTGTACTTGTACACAAGTGTGAAGACAGAAGAGAATAGCAAGTGCTCTATTGTGTCTCTCTCCACCTTATTTACTCGAAACAGGGTTTCTTATTGAACCTGGATGTGGACTGGAGGTCATTAAGCCTCAGGGATCTTTCCTGTATCAGTCTACTGTAATCCCGGGGTTACATGCACACTCCGTGCCATGTCCAACTTTTTACATTGGTTCAGGAGACTCCAATTCTCATGCTTTCATGACAGGTGGTCTTACACACTGAGCTATCTCCCTAGGCTCAGGAAACCTTTTTTAAAAACGCTGGATGATTTAATTGCAATGCTATCAACGTTATATTTAACATAGTTTAAAAAAGTAAAGATGGGGAAGAATTTTTACATAGAGGAGGAGGAATAGGCATTATATCACACTCCTTATCAAAACTGTAATGGCTGTATTCATAGAACCAGGAAAATAATCCTGAAATTCACCTGAATGGATTTCAATACAATTGCAAAACAGTACATACAGTCAAAGACATAAGACATACAAAGATTACAGCTGGAAGGATAATAGCAACTAATTGCAAGAAATACTACTGATAGTAGCCAAAGTAGTGTCAAGTATTGGCCTAGAAGAAAGACACCAACACCAATGGAACAGAATAAGCATACAGAAATAAACTCATGCAACTAATGCATTAAAAAGATTTTTTGACAAAGGCACTGGAATTATACACTGGAGAAAAGTTAGCCACTTCAATACGTGATGCTAAGAAAGCTGCATTCAAAATACAGAAACTCGACCTCCTTTCATATTGTATGAAGGTCAGTTCAAAGAGGAACAAAACCATAAATGTTAAGACATGAAGCTTTGAGAGTACTGAAAATATAGGAGAAATAGTTAAATATTTTGGTATGATATCCAAAGCACAGAAAAATGGACATATAGGATACCACCACACTGAAAACATCTGTAAAGGAAAAAATTGAGTGTTGAGACAAGAGAATAGAAGAAAATATTTGCTATCAGCTTATCCATAGTAGAGTATACCAGGAACAAACAAACAAACAAAAAACCCACAACAAATAAGGCCAAATAAACCAAAGGGAATGGTCAATAGTTCTAAATAGACATTTCTCAATAGAAGACAAATCTCTATTAGGCATATGAAAAAATGCTCAATGTAACCAAGCAGGTTAAAACCAAATCAAAATCAGAGTGAGGAACCATCACAACCCAGTAAGAATGGCTCACATCAAAAAAGAATTCTAAATGCTGTTGTGGTTGAAAAGTAACACCTTGAATGACTGTGATGACAATGTAAATTATAAATTACCACAGGTACTGTGAAAAATAGTAAGAAGGCCTCTCAAAAAATTATATAATGGGCTATTGTTTGAGACTCAACTATTCTAGGGAGACCTGAAAACAAGGGACCATCACAATTCAGGAATCCCAGAAACACTCTGTGCATCACATTTAGATAGTACAAGATGTGGTGTTTGAAGAGCATGGTGGCTTCAGGGCCACCTTTATACCAGTAAAGGTGTAAATCCCTTCAAGTGAAGGTCATAGTGGACATTGCTAGGTCTGAGTTCATGGCTAAGGGACTCCAAGGCTGCCCTGCTGTGTTAGTTGCTGCCAAACAGGAGCCAGAGCTCTGAGGCCAAGACCAGCGAATTACTTCACTTCCTCTTTTATCTATTGTAGGATAGTTAGAGCCTGGGTGGGCCATGAAGCTCTGTGGCCCATGAAGCACAGGCCAGCTTCCCTGTGCTCGGTTTGCTTCACTTTCTGTGGACACAGGGGGCCTACCTGTGGCCTAGACATTAGGTACCCCAGGATGAAAGTCTCAGGGTATCTCTTGGGTGAATAAGAACCTACCAAGGACACACACTCAGAAAGCTAAATGTGGCCACCGATGGCTCCTGAAATTAAGTAATGTATTAAAAAGACTGTATACCATACTAAAATGAATTTCATTCCAGAGATGCCAAGAAGAGCTCAACATATACAAATCAACAGATGTAACAGCTCACAAACTAAGCACTATACATCACATAATAATGTAAAAATATGCAGAAAACACTTTGACAAAGTTCAATGTCACTTCATGACAAATATTCCAAGGATACTAGGAAAAAAGGAATGTATACCAACACAACAAGGGATACATTAATCTATGGCCAATATATACTAAATGGGGGATTTAGAGGTATAAAAGACCCTTAATAGACAGAGCAAGAAGTTTACCGATTTTGAACTGTATTAAAGGCACATATGAACAAAACAGCACAGCTCACAGACCAACAGCAATGATTTAGCAGTTTGACTGAGCTACCCATTTTTTCTACTTTGTCTTTGTTAGGTCACAAGAGTGGTCTCAAAATGGCAGTCCTGGTGCTAATGTGTTAAGATGAGGGCTGACTTCCATGTGGACTGGATTTGCTGAAACAGAAACCTTAGAACATTTTGCAGAAGCCTTTAATAGCCGGCTGATCTTTCCTAACTGCAACTGTAGCACCTTATCTTTCTAGGGCAGTCCCCATGCTGACCACCTGGCTGCTCCAGCCCCAAATTGTCTCCCCCTGCCATCTACCCATATAAAACCAATTAGCACTTGTGGCCCTTCCTGTCGTC